CCTGCTGCATGTACCCACTGCCTGTACATGCTGCCTGTACCTGCTGCCTGTATATCCAGCTGCCTGTACCTGGCTGCCTGTGTATCTGGCTGCCTGTACCTGCTGCATGTACCCGCTGCCTGTACATGCTGCCTGTACCTGCTGCCTGTATATCCTGATGCCTGTATCTGGCTGCCTGTACCTTCTGCCTGTTTCTGCTGCCTGTACCCCCACTGCCTCCACCCCACTGCCCACACCCCGCTACCCCTTCCCCAGCATCCCGGATTTGCTCTTTTGGGGTAAATTTTAGCACGGGCAGAGGGGCCAGAGGCTGTGGAGAAGGGGCAGAGCTGGGTCCCCCCAGGATTTGGGGTCGACACAAGTAGCTTCCCAGAGGGGGGTGGGTGCTGGGGTGTCCTGTGCTGGTGCCTCCCAGCACCACTTTGAACCCCGGTTTAAAGTCCAGCCTGGAAGGTGACAACAGTGCAGGACAAGGGCTTTGAGCCTTGTTCCCCGTCCCGTGCCCACCGGTGTCCCCACCCACGGGATGGAGGGGTCACCCGTGGGGTTTTGGGGCGCATGGGTCCCTGTTAGAGGACAAGTTGGGTTTCAGGATGGACGGGCTTCGCAGGTGGGAGAGGAGGGGGTGGCTTGCTGGGTCTGTCCTGTGCCCTTCACAGCTCCCAGGAGCTGTCACCCCAACCTGGACCCCACAGGACCCCCCCCATCCCGGTGCTGTCCCAGAGAAGCCCCGTGAGCGATGGCAGGAGAACCCCCCCTGCAGCTCCGCGTCTTCGACCTCAACTGCTGGTGAGTCCAGGGTTTGTCAGAGCTGTGCAGGTGGGGACAGGGACACCCACACCAGGTGAAGGGTCCCCCCCCTTGGGGTCACCATGTCCCCTTCCTTTCAGGGTCACACCGCTCTCCCAGCCCAGAGAGTCCCAGTGTCCCCCCGTGGCCCTTTTCTTCTACTCTCCCACCCTCCCCAGTCTGCACCCTGCCCAGAGCTCCCCCCTGTTCCCCATTTTGGACCCGTCACCGTGTCCCCCCACACTGTGACATCCCACCCCCCCGGCAGGGCCATCCGCTACCTGAGCAAGCGGCGGCAGGAGAGAGTCCAGCCCATCGGGGAGAAGCTGCGCCGGGGGCGCTGCTGCGGGGGGGGAGGGCAGCCCCTGGGCTGAGCGTGTCTGTTCTCAGCCTGTGAGATGAGCGTGTCTGTTCTCAGCCTGTGAAACGAGCTTGTCTGTTCTCAGTCCTTGAGAAGAGTCTGTCTGTTCTCAGCCTGTGAGATGAGCGTGTCTGTTCTCAGCCTGTGAAATGAGCATGTCTGTTCTCAGTCCTTGAGAAGAGTCTGTCTGTTCTCAGCCTGTGAGATGAGCATGTCTGTTCTCACCCTGTGAGATGAGTGCACCCGTTCTCAGCCTGTGAAATGAGTGTGCCCATTCTCTACCCATGAGATGAGTGCGCCCATTCTCAGTCCTTGAGAAGAGTCTGTCTGTTCTCAGCCCATGAGCTGAGCATGTCTGTTCTCAGCCCATGAAATGAGTGCACCCATTCTCAGCCCATGAGCTGAGCATGTCTGTTCTCAGCCCATGATGTTAGTGTGTCTGTTCTCAGCCCATGAAATGAGTGCACCCATTCTCAGCCCATGAAATGAGTGCACCTGTTCTCAGCCTATAAGATGAGTGTGCCTGTTCTCATCCCACTGTCCTCCAGGTGTGGAGTGAGCAGGACTACAGAGACCTGAAGGCGAAGCTGGCAGGCTGCTACCCCTTCTCCCATTATTTCCAGAGGTGAGAGGGGCCAGGCCACCCCCCTCCCCGGGGCTGTCCCTGGGCTGGTGGCAGGGCTGTGCCATGTCCTTGGTGTTTGCCACCTGGAGAGACGGGTGCAGGTGCTGTAGGTCACCTCTGTCTCCATGCCTGGAAAGCGGGATGGCCATGGGAGCACAATGGAATCCAGGCATCCAGGGGGCCCCCTTGGCTTGGGGCCTGGGGGGGAGGCAGCAGGAGGGGGGACCCCACTTCCTGACTGTGTTTTTCCCCCTCCTGCAGCGGGGTGATCGGCAGCGGCCTCTGCGTCTTCTCCAGGTTCCCCATCCTGGACACCTTCCTGTACCAGTACTCATTGAACGGGTACCCCTACATGGTGAGGAGGGTGGGGGGCACACGGTGCCCAGTGTCCGGCCCCACAGAGCTTCACTGGTCCCCCACCCCTTTCCATTCGCCCTCCACAGCTCCAGCACGGGGACTGGTTCTGTGGCAAGTCCGTCGGCCTCGTCATCATGAAGATCTCTGGGATCATCTTCAATGTCTATGTCACCCACGTGAGCACCCCGGGAAAGGACCTGGCATGGGGGGGGACAATGGGGAGGAGGAGGACAAGTGGCCCTACCCCTCCTTTGTTGTCCCCTTGCTTTAACCACTGCTCAGCACCATCTGTCCTGCGACCATACCCTGATTTAAGGAAATATTTCTCAGGGAGGGGATGGTGACCCCCCCAGCCTGGCTGTGCAGCAGGATGAACATCCCAGGATGTCCCCAGGGGGATGGGATGAAGGCAGGGGTCAGGCAGACCCCAAAGGGACCATCTAGAGGGGTTGGGGAGGGGTGTTGCAGGAAGCCTGGGAGCAGGAGAGGTGCCAGCATGGGGGTGATGGCTGCTTTGCCCCCCACCTCTCCAGCTGCACGCCGAGTACTGCCGGGAGAAGGACGCCTACCTGCCCCACCGCCTGGTGCAGGCCTGGGAGCTGGCACAGTTCATCCGGTGAGCAGGTGTGGGGTGAGAGCAGGGCGTCCCAGGAACCCCAGCCTGGCCTGAGGAAGGGGATCAGTCATCCCATGTCCCCTCAGACACACCTCGAAGGCGGCTGATGTGGTGCTGCTGGGAGGGGACCTGAACATGCACCCCGAGGACGTGGGCATCCGGCTGCTGCGGGGCTGGACGGGGCTGCAGGACGCCTTCTCCGAGGCCACACGCTTTGAGGTGAGTGGCCACGGGTGAGGGGGGAGTCCTGGGGTACACCCAGAACCCCCCACCCACCTGGGTGTTTGCTCCCAGGGCTGCCAGGACGGCTGCACCCTCATCCCCAGCAACTGCTTCACTGTCAAGGCTGAGCTGCTGCCCTTCCCACTGGGCATCCGCATCGACTACATCCTCTACAAGGTAACAGGGGGGCCCTCGACCACTGTCTGTGGGTGACAGGGGGGATGACACTGGCATGACCCCCCTCTGCCCCCCCCCGTCCCCTCGCCCAGGCCATCTCCAGCTTCACGGTGAAGTGTGAAGAGCTGAAGACCACCAAGGGGACAGCCCCAGGCGTGGACATCCCCCTCTCCGACCACGAAGCCGTGATGGCAACGCTGCACATCCAGAGGCAGGGACAGGCTGGGGGTGCCCCCCTCAACAGCACTGGTAAGGGGAGGGGGGGGCAAACACTGCCAGAGCCCCCCATGTACCGGGGCATTGGGCTCTTGGATGGACTGATGGAGCGGGGTGGAGTTTGGGGGGACGTTTCCTTTTGCTTAGGGC